TCCAGTGCAAAGTTTTCAGTGGACTTTCCCCAGGTACTCTGGCACCTCCGATTAGCACAATTGGCTACGTACGGTGCGAAAGAAGTTCAAAATACATCTCTACGTAACACTCATTGATGGAATTGGTCAAAGATCTGAATGCAGAATTTGCCAAATCCATCCTGAAAATAAGTCTCAACACTCCGTATGGCTTTCCTGGACGTATTGAAATCACGCTCAGCCCCTTGTAGATTCACTGCTGAATGTACGCCTCTCAGCATCGTGTTGATCAAGGGCATTGTTTGACTATAATACTTCACTGCGCTGCATGTTGATGAAGGGGCCAGGAACGATCATTCACCACCTGCGTTAGCCGTGACCACGAATGTAAATCGGATATCCAGGATCACAGCTCATTCCACCACCTTGCCTCCTCCCTGGACAAATATCAATCATCTCGTTCCTACTTTCCTATAAGTTATTGCAATAGGTTATGTTTTTTTTATATAATTGTGATTAAATCGTTAATTGTGTTGTCTCTGATCCGTGAAACGTTTAAGTTTACGAGCCCGACCCGCGGCCCGCTACGGGAGGGAGCTGCTTGCTGCTGCTCGTCTCTGCTGGTCCTCGTCTCTGCTGGTCCTCGTCTCTGCTGGTCCTCGTCTCTGCTGGTCCTCGTCTCTGCTGGTCCTCGTCTCTGCTGCTGCTGCTACTCGTCTCTGCTGGTCCTCGTCTCTGCTGGTCCTCGTCTCTGCTGCTGCTCGTCTCTGCTGGTCCTCGTCTCTGCTGGTCCTCGTCTCTGCTGGTCCTCGTCTCTGCTGGTCCTCGTCTCTGCTGGTCCTCGTCTCTGCTGCTGCTCGTCTCTGCTGGTCCTCGTCTCTGCTGGTCCTCGTCTCTGCTGGTCCTCGTCTCTGCTGGTCCTCGTCTCTGCTGGTCCTCGTCTCTGCTGCTGCTGCTGCTGCTACTCGTCTCTGCTGGTCCTCGTCTCTGCTGGACCTCGTCTCTGCTGGTCCTCGTCTCTGCTGGTCCTCGTCTCTGCTGGTCCTCGTCTCTGCTGGTCCTCGTCTCTGCTGCTGCTACTCGTCTCTGCTGGTCCTCGTCTCTGCTGCTGCTGCTACTCGTCTCTGCTGGTCCTCGTCTCTGCTGGTCCTCGTCTCTGCTGGTCCTCGTCTCTGCTGGTCCTCGTCTCTGCTGGTCCTCGTCTCTGCTGGACCTCGTCTCTGCTGGACCTCGTCTCTGCTGGTCCTCGTCTCTGCTGGTCCTCGTCTCTGCTGGTCCTCGTCTCTGCTGGTCCTCGTCTCTGCTGCTGCTGCTACTCGTCTCTGCTGGTCCTCGTCTCTGCTGCTGCTGCTGCTGCTACTCGTCTCTGCTGGTCCTCGTCTCTGCTGGTCCTCGTCTCTGCTGGTCCTCGTCTCTGCTGGTCCTCGTCTCTGCTGGTCCTCGTCTCTGCTGGTCCTCGTCTCTGCTGCTGCTACTCGTCTCTGCTGCCGCCGTAAAACTCAACGCTGTCACCGCATTTTTCTCCGCTCCTCCGCGCACTAAATCTGATTTATTTTTTTCTTTTTCTGTGATTCATGTCACCGCTTTTGAGTTGCACAAATTTATTCCTTTGTCAAATCTTGCACCGCTGCTTTTGTTTTACGCGCACCCCCCCCCCCCCCTCCGCACCCATCCCCCCCTTATAAGTTACCCAGATCTCTCTTTAAAAAAAGAGACTTGCCGTTTCAATGTTCAGTCGTCTCTCATCATCGTTATCATCAGCCATGGTCCATCCACTGCTGGATGAAGACCCCCCCCCCCTACTAAAAGCTGCTGCCCAACTCCCACGATCCCTGCTACGACGATAGAGGGGCCCTCGCCGAGGTCAGGTCATTGGTAAAGGAACTCTCGGATCGATGGATCGATCACGGCAACGGATGACGACACAGCCGTGGTTGGACCTCGCAGCACGCCTCGGCGAAAGTTTTGAGAAAACGAACGGACGACGACGATGATGACGATGATGACGATGATGATGGTGGTGATGATGGTGGTGATGATGGTGGTGATGATGGTGGTGATGATGGTGGTGGTGATGATGATGGTGATGATGGTGGTGATGATGATGGTGATGATGGTGGTGATGATGGTGGTGATGATGGTGATGATGGTGGTGATGATGGTGGTGGTGATGATGATGGTGATGATGGTGGTGATGATGATGGTGATGATGGTGGTGATGATGGTGATGGTGGTGATTATGATGGTGGTGATAATGATGATGATGGTGGTGATGATGGTGATGGTGGTGATGGTGGTGATGATAATGATGATGGTGATGATGGTGGTGATGATGGTGGTGGTGGTGGTGATAATGATGGTGATGATGGTGGTGATGATAGTGATGATGATGATGGTGATGATGGTGGTGGTGATGATGGTGATGATGGTGGTGATGATGGTGGTGATGATGGTGGTGATGATGATAATGGTGATGGTGATGATGATAATGGTGGTGATGGTGGTGATGATGGCGATGATGGCGATGATGGTGATGATGGCGATGATGGTGATGATGGTGATGATGGCGATGATGGTGATGATGGCGATGATGGTGATGATGGCGATGATGGTGATGGTGGTGGTTATGATGGTGATGATAGTGATGATGATGGTGATGATGGTGGTGGTGGTGATGATGATAATGGTGATGGCGATGATGGTGATGGTGGTGATTATGATGTTGATGATGGCGATGATGGTGATGATGGCGATGATGGCGATGATGGCGATGATGGTGATGCATTGCGACGCAGAGCGACTGCCCTGCACACGGCAGCGGCGGGCAGCGACTGCCAGTCAACGACAGCACACGAGGAGGTGGGGGGAGATTTCCGCCTGTTATAACGCGACGCGGACACACCGGGCGAACGAAAAGAAAGGAAAGACGTCCACACCCCCCCCCCCCACGGCCAGCCCCCACCCCATCCCCCAGCCCCCTCGTGTTCGTCTCGCCGGGCGGCGCTTCACGCCGTCCGGTTCTTGGAGAAGCGCGGCGGCGAGGGGATGCGGGGCAGGAGCGTCGCTCCGCGAATAAAATGAACCCAACGTGCGGTGAGAAATGCCCATTTGTTTGCGTCATGTCCCCGCCTGATTGCTTGTGGCTCCTCGACGCCGCGATTGTTTGAGCGGTAGGGGCCGCGGGGGAGCGGGGGGGAGGGCGAAGCGGGGGGGGGGGGGGGGTGAAGGAAGGATGGGAAGGAGAGGAGGAGGAGGAGGAGGAAGAAGAAAAAAGAGTACGCGGTTTCCATGGCGACGAGCGGAGCATTCCGCTCACGCAGGCGGCCCGGCGCGTGGGCGGCGGAGCGGCGGCCGCAGCGCGTGAGGGGGCACCAGAAGGCCCCCCCCCCAACCCATACCCCCCAACCCATACCCCCCCCAACCCATACCCCTCCACCCCCACCCTCCGCCCTCCACCCCCTCCACTCCCCCAACCCCTCCACCCACACCCCTCTCCTGAGCCCCCCACCCCCTCCACCCTCCACTCCCCCCGCCCCCACCAAGCCTCAACAACAAAATCCGCCACCGCCTCTTTTCTGTCCGATCGAGTTTCTGTCGCGTCCAATCCAAGCGCTCCGCTCTCCCGCACCAGAGACGCGCCTCTCGCTCGCTAGATCTCGCTCGCTAGATCTCGCTCGCTAGATCTCGCTCGCTAGATCTCGCTCGCTAGATCTCGCTCGCTAGATCTCGCTCGCTAGATCTCGCTCGCTAGATCTCGCTCGCTAGATCTCGCTCGCTAGATCTCGCTCGCTAGATCTCGCTCGCTAGATCTCGCTCGCTAGATCTCGCTCGCTAGATCTCGCTCGCTAGATCTCGCTCGCTCCATGCGCTTCGCTTTGCAACGTTCACGTACGGTGGCGTTCGCCGCGTCGCCGCGGGGATGGGAGTGGGGGACGCTGGAGGTTTCGATCTCCCCCGGAGCGGCAGCTGAAACACCACCAGTGGGCACGATTCCGAATGCACCCGAGGCGTTGCGCGCAGCAGCGCGACAACGTGCAGCGAGTCGATTGGGAGGAAACTCGTCGTGTGGTAGGCGCATGAGTGTGGGTTGCTCCCACCTCGTCCAAGATGTCCGGGTTCTCCCCCACCCCACCCCAAAAAATAAACTCTAGAGAAGGTTCCCAGGATTCCCTCTGGTGGAGGCGCCTCTATCTGTCAGCAGTGACGCGAGCGAGCAGTTTGCAGACCTGCGCCTTTGCCTTTATAGTTGGCTTGAATGTAAAAAAAAAATCAACAACTTTTAAATGTCATTTGACAGGAGAGTGTCGCCTTATTCAGCGGGGCAAACTCGCTCGACGTTTGAAAAATTATCATCATCATCATCAGCAGTGGCAACAGCCATGTTCAATCCGCTGCTGCATGAATGCCATCTCAATCTTGAGAAATGCAGACCATGAAAGCGTTAGGTGAAACTGAGCAGCAAAAATAATATGAGCAAAATTTTTCATTGAAATTCGAGTGCCCGTTTCGTCGTCAGCGCTTACAAAATGCAGCACAGCGGCGAGGAGAAACAACCAGAAAATGCATCTGTCCAAATCATTATTGGCGATCGGCCGCTGAGCAAGGAAAGTAATGAAGTCGTAAATTCGGACGAGGTCGTAACATAAAAAAATATCGCGGCGCGAGTCTCGGGGAAAAGAAAAAAAAACACCGAACGCAAAAGCTGTTACAGGGGAAAAACAAAAATACGAAGCGCGCGCCTAATTATCGCGAGATTCACTTTTTTTCCGCGCGTCCGAAATAAAACCGGAACGCAACAAACGCCCCGAAAACCCTCCCGGCAAGAACGCCTCCACAAGTCGCAGCCAACGACGAAACGTCAAAGTTGTGACTGCGACGACGCAATGGAGGAGGAGAGACGGCGGCTGTGCACGCCGCCGGCTGATCGGGCGTTCACAGCCGCGGTGCCGCTCGTGAACGCAATGCGTGCCGACGGTGACCGTGACGGCGGTGACAGCACGCAGGGGCTGGGGGCGCGTTACCTCCAGTTTGTTCTCGATGTAGTCCCCCAGGCCGATCACGATGATTCTGCAGATGCTCTGCAAAGGAAGAGACGGGACAAGGGATGGAAGTTAGCGAGAGGGTCGCAACGCGAGGAGTCGACGAGAGTTGGGGAGGGGTGGGTGGAGGTGGGGGGGGGGGGGGGCTGTAAAGGCAGTGGTTAATGTCCGGGGCTAAGTCCTGGAAAATAATTGCCCGGATGTGCAGTCCTGGGGGGTTTGGGGGGGGGGTCTTCATACAATGCTCAATGAGAAATGAAGCCCTGGGTGGGTGCATTCAGATGCATTTTAGTCACTGGCATGATCGCGACAATCATCGAGTCTTCATCAGCCCGCACGTCCGATTTGCACGGTTGGCTACGTACGGTGCGAAAGTTCAGCAACACGCGTACAACATACGTCACCATCGTACACATGTATCATCACCTGTGTCATAATCACGAGCTGACACGACCATCGACATTCAGAATCAAGCGGCAACAAATCTTCCAGCTCAATTGAGTAATGGGACAGTGGCAGTCGTGAGCCAGTGGGTGGCAATTCCAGATTGCCATGAGAGGAGCCGGTCTTTCTACATGATAACCGCTGTTTACTACATACAAATTGGTACTCATACAATAACCCCTGAGGGGTAATAGACTGAATTGGCATTGTGGAATTATAATTCGAGGTGTAATGATGTAGGGGTTCATCGATTAACATCGACTCTTCAGACTCATAGGATCGCTTGTGTAAAAATCGACGTAATGTGATTCGTATGTACATTGCATATAACATTTATTTAGACATTTGCAGCCGTAAGTGACTGCTACATCACCACGTGTGTTAAAAACAATAAAATGTAATTCGTAAAACCGATTCCCGATGCTGACATTTTTTTAAAAGACATCGAATCGCTGTGGAAGCTGGTGGGTAGGGTGAATAGTTTAGTTATCCCCCTCGATTTCAAATTATTTGCATTCATTTATTCATTGGCATATTTATTGCACCACGGCAACAGCTTCGAAAACAAAGCCTTCATTAGCGGACGACCGATTTTAACGGCGACTGCACACGCGCACGCGCGACGCGCGCATGCGCACAATGGCACCCGCGCATGCAGGATGCACCTCCGGTGCGGGGGAGTCTCGCTTCGCTTTAACTTCACCGGCCCGCAGGCCGTGGCGCGCTCACTCCGAGCGTGGCTGGCCCTCGTGGCCCGAGCGCGGCGCGCCCGCCTAATCGCGGTGTCGCGAGCGTTGGTCGCGCCCGTAGCTTCCGTCAGGGGATCGTCGCGTTCCGCCGAGACAGGCGGAGAAGTTGTCCGCCGCTTAAATTGGCAATGCGCTTCTGCTTGCGGATGGAACCGCCGTGATTTCCACATGGATGTCAGTGGAGTTACAACAACAAGATTAATAAAAAGCGCGCGCGCGCGCGCCCGTGGCTTCTGCAGCGCTTTCCCACGTGCGTTTGTATCTTGCAGAGGATGCAACTTTTTGGCGCTCGCTTTTGTCTTCGGCGACGCAACTTTACGCTAACGTTGAATTCATGTTGTAGTTGTGTTTATTAGAGTTATCATGTCGCCACGTTACATGAAGACAGAGAGAGACATAACGGCCCTTGGAAAGCGTTAATAAACAAGGCAAAGTGGTTACCTGCTCAATTGCGCATGGAACAGCACTCATCTCCTGAGCCTGTGGTGGAAATTCCACCTTCCTATGGTCGGAGGCAAGTCTATCCATATGACTGCTGCTCCTGGCATTCCCACACATTGATACTTATTGTATCAACCACCCCGGAGGGATGATGGGCTGAGTCAACCCCCAACTGAGATTGTGGGTCAATTACTCCACTATTGCACTACTAGGCTGGACGTATTTATTTTAAAAAATGTTATGCTTTAATAACATTTTTATTTTCCTATGCATTCAACAATCAACGCATTATAACTATCATCAAATTTCGATTTAAAGCTTTCGTGACTGCAATGATTCATCTTCTTTGGTTCTTTCGGTAAAGTCACGTAGAATGAGAATAAAATAATAAATTGATAAAATAAAATAACATACGACTTTACCGAAAGAACCAAAGAAGAACTATCATCAACTGACATATTTTTTTACGTATGCATTTTTTTTAAATCCCCTATTACTACGTCCAATCAACACGATAGCCTTACATTTAAAAAAAAAATATCCGCTTGTCGTTGTGATTATTATTATGATGACCCCTTATGTTATTTTCACCGCTCGATTATTGAGGACACAGCGGCGGACGTTCGTAGGCCGCCCGTGAGCGGCGGCAGCGGCCTTTGAGGGACGTGAGCCCCCACGATCGCAATCTCTCTTGCCACGGGGAGGGCTATTTTACTGGTAGGTGGGCAGCCCAACCATGAGAATCGGGGCGAGCGAAGGAGCAATGCTAAAACACTGCCGGCGCAGTTGCCAGGAGTCACGGCTTGTGACCTCCCCTGCCGTCTACCCCCACCCACGAGATCCCAGCCGTAACATTTCAAGCGGTGGAGGAGGAGGAGGAGGGAAAAAAAATCATTTGTCATTCAAGCCGCGTCGCACTTCGAGGCACCGCGTGCCTTTCCTTGCAAAGCCGAAGCCCCGGCTCGCTCACATTTTGGAGGGGACGGTGCGCAAAAAACTCCAGAGCGCTACAGCGGGCGGGCTCGACCGGCGTGCGCCCTTACCGAGGGACGCTCGCGAACCCAGAGCAAAACACGAGATGCCATATCGCCGATCCCGCGGAATGCTTTATCGGTTTCCCGGAGATCGACGGTGGCCGAGGTGTGGCGGCCGAAGGGGGTGAAACACGCCCAACGGCGATGAGATCGACTTGGGGCTGCGGGAGGAGCGAGGTGCGTCGTCTGTTCGCGGATAAGCGTGAGAGACGGTGACGGCTCGCGGCTTCGTCCCGCAGTGGATAGATCACGACGCAGATGGACGATGACGAACGATGTTTAATTTTCTGCGATGGGTTACGCGCGATGTGCGTTCTCGAATCTTAGCTGTACCGATGTCGGGATGGAAATGAAAATGCAGCGCATTAATCGCACGTAGTGTCACGTGATTTATTTTTTTCAAGGAGTGGGCTTTTCAGGCAGGGTTGTTGGATCATGCAGAGATCATCACGTGCGTGATGATCATCCCCGCTTGCTGGGCTACGAAGTCACTGGTAGCTGGCAGCATGGAACATCAGGTGCCGAACTATTTGTATGGATTTTGTGAGTAGTATCTCTTCATACGCGAAGGTATTTTTCTCTGGGTCTCCTCCCACACCCAATACACTCGATGATGCATCGGTTGAACATTTTAGTGCAGAACCCCTGTGGTAAAAATGCCTTGATACTCGATGAAACTTTTCTAGATAATAAAAAATAATTTGGCGCATTGGGATCTACTGAAGAAATGCGCCTTACAAAATGTAAATTATTATTATTGTTCTGCCATGCCTCATCACGATGGGCATTGGGGGTTGGTAAAGGTGTGCACCCAGGATCGGCCGAAAATAAAACTTGCTGGGTTCATAGCACAGTGCGCTAACCACTGCGCCGGGTAAATAACGTACGTTAGAATTAATTACTATTAAATTGCAAGCCTTACTATTTTCTTTTACCCAGGTCTACCTTGAAAAAGAGACATTTCGTCGCAATGGGATCTCAACTTCTAACTATAAATAACCTGCACGTCCGATTAGCACGTTTGGCTATGTGCGGTGCGAAAGAAGTTCAATATACATACGTCAAGATAATTTATAATTCATTTTTTAGGTCCGATTGCGTGATTAAACTGTGTTGTAAACCCTTCTCCAACCGACACGGCTAACTTATAAAGCTGTCACGTGATGAACAAACATGGCCAATGTATTACTGCATCAGCAGCACAACCGGTGTTACGTTGGAGAGCGAGCTCACAACATTTAACAATGCAGTGCGACATTTCGCTTATACAACCAGCATCATCAGGCAGTTGCCAAAATTGTGAAGATGTCCTCCAGTCCTGGGCCTTTAATACGTGGTGTGATGTCATCAAGGTGCAGCCACAAGTGAACAGGAAGTGGCAGGAAGTGATACCTAGAGGCGCCACGGTGGCGAGATGTTAACTACCTCGCATGGTATGCAGGAGGTTGTGGGTTTGACCCAGATCCTGACACCTGCTGTACATTTGGAGTGTGCGTGTCTCTATCCCCGTGGTCGCGTGGATTTTCCTCCGGGTCTCTCCACATTTAGAATCAATGTGCGTTTAGAGTATTTGGCTGCTATAAATGTTCACGTGATAAACCACTTAGCTGAGCCATCATTTGTGGTCAGGTTGCTTCTAAAATAAAAATAAATAAATAATACTTGCTTTAGTTAAATAGCTAGTCATCTATTCGCATAATTTTACTGTTTGACGTTTTCCTTCAACTCTTGCATCTCTTGAGGTACACCGACCAAGCGATTCGTTTCGCACGTCCATCTTTCCTCCACGTTCCACCAAGTCCGGGATGAAAGCCTCCCCGCGCCTTAACCACCCCCCGGGTCCTGCGATGCCTCAACCCATCTCGCTCTCTCACAATCTGATCTCATTGCTCCATCTCCGCGGTGGCTGCCGTTCTCTCGGATGTGTTCCCCTCATTTTTGACTGCCGTGCCGTCACCACCAGATTAGCGCACGGCCCATCGTCCTCGCTAGCAATAGGTCATGACCCAAGCCCTCCGACTCTTTGTTACCAGTCCATATGATGTCTCTAACTTGTCAGGGTGCTCTGATTCGTGCTCTCCTCGTCCCGTCTCACTGTCGTTTACAGCTTGCACCTCTCCACGCTTCCTTGCGCGCCTGCCGGCTTTGATTCCGTGACCCTTAAGTCAGAGAGTCCACGTTCATCAATTCACTGTGGCAGGTGAAATACGCGCAGATTCATAAACGTTCTTCGCATCGTTAAAAATGTGATGGTAATTACGCACATTTACATCAGCGGCGCTCTTTAGCGGCGTGAACGATGACACGGATCGCCGCACACGCAACCAGAACTGCAGGCAGACCGACAGCAGCTGGGGAAGCGATGGCCACAGCGGTTCGCACGCTGCTCTACGGACCCAGCAACCAGAGTTGGATTCCCCGGCCACGGCTAACATTTAGAGGCGAGTGACATCTGCATGGGTCTTCGCCAGCACTGTAATCCGCAGAGTGGTGAAGTATGGCCAAACACCATCCTATGGTCAACATGGCTCTGGGGAGGGCCGCAATCCCGCCACGGGATCGACAAAGGTCTGCGTTAATTATCCTGCGCTACGTTGCGAACAACACCGAGGCCCGGGGCGATCTTTTGGAGCGAGCCCAGTCGTGGATGGCACCTCTCTTACAACTCCGCAATGGGAGGTTTCCCAACCACACTTACGGTGCCGAGGTGTGCGGCACCCAAGCAAGCCCTTCATTTGAATTACCGTTAAAGAACAAAAATCCCCCCACCCCCCACACCCTTTACACAAACCTTCAGCGGCTCCAACATTGTCACAAACCTCACGGGCAGGGCCAAGTAGTTTTTACACGTGCCGCTTTGAAACTCACACAGCCCTTAATAAAAAAAAACAAATATTTATAATGACTCCTTCGAAGGGGGATATTCAATAGCTCGCGGAAAAGGCTTGGAAGTGATCTACCGCTGAAAGGCGTCGCGATGCGTCCGAGCTCTAACGAGTGCACTGCTGGCTGAGCAAAACTGCAGGGAAAGAACCCCCCCCCCCAAAAAAAAAACTTGGCCCACTCCGTCAAACGGCGCAGGCTGCGCTGCGCGAGATAAAGTACAACGTTGTCGCAAAAATAAAGAGACAGAGAGAGAGAGCGGTGGGGTGGGGGACGGCGACTGTCGGCTGCGGTGGCAGACGCGCAGCCGACGCTATCTCGCCCGGAGCGAGATACCTGGCGCAGGGGATATCAGTCTGTGCCGCGCGGTCCAACGCGACGCCGAATCGGGCTCCCCCCCCCCCCCCCCCCCATCGAACACCTGTTCCCGTGTCCGTCTCCCGATGGTTATCGGCGGCGCGGAAGATAGAGGGGGAGCCGGAGGATCGCTCGTGCGGGGGTCGTCGTCGCCGTTGTCGACGAGGGGACGGTGGTGGTGCGGTGAGGGAGGGGGATGGAGGAAGGGACGGTGGCATTCGTCATTTTGCGCGTTTACCTCCACGAAGAAGACGGTGAGGATGAGAAAGCTGATCCAGTGCATCACTGCCGCGGTGTCGACGGCATTCCTGACTGCGGGGAGGGAAGAGAAGAGAGGAGGAAGGTGAGATGGGGGGGGGGGGGGGGGGCAGGATGCCGTGGAAGAAAACATGTCGAACGACACGTGGTACAGCCCGACTTTTTTAAAATCTTCATTAGATCCGCTTCTTTTGTTTAGTTTGTCGTCTTCCCCCCGCACCCACGATTGGCGCGGTTGTGCTCGACGTTCGGTGCGAAAGAAGTTCAACACACGCACATAAAGCTCTCGCGACAATCGGAAGAGTTGTGTGTGTGCGGGACAGCAGTGTAAGCCTACGCAAGGGTTTTTGTGCGGTCAGACTTTTGGTCGTGAGCTGTGGCAAACGTTGTTTGGGAATTCTCAAGAGTGAGCAGAGTAAGATAATTTGTTGAAGTCGCAGAAGAAGAAGGAGGGGGAAGGGGAGGGCTTCCCCTCTGCCCCACAGAAGTTGACATCACGAAGCAAAATTTGATGGTCACTGCAATAAGTGTATCTCTTCCAAAAAACGCGACATAGGCACTTCCTTGTATCTTGAGGACTTGTCATCAAAGTGTATTCTTCTTCGGTCTGTGATTGTAGCCACATCTCGAATTAATTATTAACTCATGCACATAAACAAGTCCATTTTATCCCCATCATCCTGATCACAAACCGCTCGGACGATTCAGCCACCCTTAAAAAATAATTAAAATAGTCGCGCTGTCTGGCTTCACCGTAATCCACTAGGACAAGTAATGTCTTCGCATATACATTGCATGTGCACGCGTAGAAACATTGCCATCGCAAAATTATGAATACGCTGACGACGTAATTTTTTGTTACCTTTTAAGATGTGTAGATTTTTTTTTCTTGCGTGGCCTCTATTGGTGACTGAGCTGCGACTGTAGACTAGCTACACCTGAGAATCTTGTTTAAGCGTGGGCAGGTGACCCGATTTGAGCCCGATATGCAAACAGAATGTTATAATATATACTGTATGTTCAATACACTTATTGTAGCCTCAGTGCCGCGGTCACATTCCTATAATAGTTTAATAATGTGCATTAAAATATCTTTCAGAGCGATGCGCACATTATTCAGAGCCACACGCAGCAGCTCAAAGTAAAGAGCGAATCTGTACAATGCATTATTATTGTTATAAAGAGGCAAACATACAACAACAACAACAACAAAAATAATGCACAGCAATAAATGATTATGGCCCAGACATGTCTTTAAGCCACAACAAAAAAAAATCCATAAAAATGCAACAGAAGCGTTGTAATGAGGCTAACGAATGGAGACACAAATTAGCCTCTTCTTGCACAGAATGAGCGAGAGTACATTTACCGCATTGAAGAAGAGCACACGCAGCTTTGATGAACGTGACGTGCACACGGGTGCTTACGTGGCAATGACCAAATCCATTACGAAGAATGTGCACCGAAACTAAAGGGAAAAAAAACATTGACATTTCGCTCGTCAAAAAAAAAACATCCCGCCATGCTCAGTCAGTGGCGGAGCGAGCGGCTCGCGATCGGAGGGTTGACCCCGGCCCATCACGCCTGTGGCGTTGATAAAATGAGCACCGCTTTGTCGGGGAAGTCAACAGTGATCGGTCGATAATTATATTCGCCCCTGTCATAGGAATGAGGAATTTCCAGCACAGGCTCAGCCAGAGCTTTGAATGGGGGAAACGAGCACCAATGGCTAAATGCGCATGTGAGGAGGAAATCCATGAGGCTTCTTGACTCGTCAACATATTGGCCGAGTTGACAAAGTGACCTTTGCAGCTTCATTGCACAAACAGCATTCTGCATCTCCGCATGTCAATCTAAGAATCCGTTTAGTCAAACAGCCTATTGGCTTTCCAGACCAACATTATCAATACTATCAAGAAGCATGTGTTTAAGCAAGCGAATTCTGAACCGGTTTCAACCTTCTGGGTCTCATCAGCAGAGTCAAGCTTGTTAAACAAATGACAATGGATTGGCACACGTTATTGGCAAGACCACTCCATATAAACGGACCCCAATTGGGGCAAACAGCAAACGTCAATTTCCTTTTGCTGTTGTACCAATAACGACTCTTTGCCACCACAACCAGAAGCTAGGAGAGAAGATCTTAAGTATCGGGTCAATTATTCAACTTATTTAAAGCTATGGTCGAGGGCTCATCATGGCCAATTCTGTTGATGCCACTCCACGCCTCTCCATAGCTTTCGTACTTTTGCTAGATGTTCAATTAAAACTATTACCTATATTTATTTTACAAGGTAAGGCCCACTGAGCAATATAGCTCTTTTTAGAAGCTACCTAACTGTCACAAATGTTAGCTCAACGAAGTTGCTTGTCACGTGGAAATGTATAGTAGCCATGAGATCTGTTTTGGCCCAGGCCATAAAATTACATAGTTCATGGCTTAAGAAGTCAATCATTCATGTCCCTGGCAAGGTGGCTCGTGCGCTGCGCTGTGAACCCGGCCGCCTGGGTTCAATTCTCGGCCAAGGCTGAGTAACATCTTGAGCTGGTTCCAGGCCTCAGCAATTAATCGATGAGCGTGGTGAGGCCTGCTCAAACAATCCCCTTGACTGACACGGCATGGGTCAACCTCTCATCCAGCAGTGGATTAACAAAGGGCTGTAAATAAATAAAAATGAATAATTATTTAACGTATTATTATTATGTTTACACTGTTACTATCATTCTTTGGAGACAACCATCGATTTAATCAGCAATTTAACGAAGATGAAAAAAGGCGCCTGGATTTTTTAAATCACAAAAGCAATGATTACGTGTCACCGAGTGATGGTGGCAAAGATTAGAAGATATATTTTTACTGGTGTGGCTGAGCTGGAGAAGCATTCCTATTGAACTTCCGAACGAATGGATATGTTTTATGGCCCCTTCCCTATGAAGCCATGATATGTGTTTTGGGCCAGGCCATTTTTATACCTGTCACTGGAAAAGTAATTTAGCGCTGTGCATTTTTGTACAAGAAAAAAAAACGTCTATTTGATTTTGTTGTCGTGGCTTGCGGGGGTTAGGGGAGGGGAGGGAAGGCAAAACAAAACAAAATCTGGGGAGCTGGATATAGACCACGGCATGGGGACTAGCTGCTGCTGATGCTACTGCTGATGCTGCTGTGGGTTCTGCTTCATCTGCAGTTGACGTTACTTTGCTGCTGCTACGACTGCTGCTGCAAACATTTATAATGCTACTTCTGCCGCTGCAGCTGATACTGCTGCCGCTGCTACTGCGGCCGCTGCTGCCGCTACCGCCCCTGCTATTGCTGCTACTGTTGGCTACTGTTGCTGCTGCTGTCTGTTGCTGCTGCTACTTCTTCTGCTGCCACTTCTGCAGCTACTACTGCTGCTGCTACTGCATTACGCGTTGGGCCACCAATACTCCGTCGCATGCGCGCTGTCAGTCTGCAGCCTTAATGGAGGCGGTTGCGTTGGCCCGCCGCTGCTTAGCATGTCAGTCAGGAGGGTTCCCTCCACACGGCCGGTTCGTTCACATGGTCTCCGTTCTTCGCCTGCGACTAATCAAACACTCCCCCCCCCCCCCTTCGCTTTCTGTCGAGGCGCAGAAGGAAAAAGATGAAAAACCAAAATTAAAGTGAAGAGACCGGACTGCGCCACGCACAATGTATATAATAATAATAACAACAACAAAGGATTGCATCATAAAAATACACAGCCACACACACACCACGCACGTAGGCACACACACTTCGGATAGCGAGAGATCAAACTGAATGTAATCTCGAAATGGAAAACCATTTGACGACGAACATCGCAAAGGCAAAAGCTCACTCTGCATTTTATGTCGGAAACAAATTAAAGCGGGCAGGAATATCGAAATGAACGGCCCTCGTACACTGTGTGCCTCCGGGGGGGTGGGGGAGTGTGAGATGAATCTGGTCAGCTACTGCTATCTCTTGGGCGTTTCGAAGAAAAGACGCCATCGCAGTGATGAGAGGGATGCAGATATCAGGGGTGCGGCTATTGGCAGAGAGAGATTCCGGCTGTCAATGCTGATTATTCGGTCTCCGGGGTCTAGGGGTTCCTCAAGGAATCGCGTGCCAGGAACCATCTCATCCTTACCCCCCAACCCACCCCGGTCCGCTCGTAGCGATCTCTGCAGAGCGGCACAGAGGAAGAGCGCCCGTCCATGACTCTGGATCGTAATTCTGCACGGTCACTCTGCATCGTCGCTCTAGCCCGTTACTCTCGATTGCAACTCTATACGGTCACTCTGGATCTCCCCTCTAGCCCGTTACTCTGGATCCTAACTCTACCCGGTCACTCTGGATCGTCGCTCTCGCCCGTTACGCCGGAGCGTAACTCTGCAAACATTGCCACGTGCGGATCGGGATTTGGGGGGGGGGGGTGGGTTAGCTAAGTGAGCGGTTGGTCGCCTTCACCGTGGCACGTGCGCTGGAGGTTGCGGCAGTGGTGGCGGCAGTCGCGGTAGTGGCAGTAGGAGAAAGGGGGGGGGGAGTTACTCACACTGCAGGATTCGAACGTCGATCAGGAGCTCGAAGGTGAGCAGCAGAATTACCAGAACCACCGCTGCCACGAGGAAGCAGTTGAGGCGGTAGCTGAGGAGCATCATGTGCCAGAGCTGGGCTCCTCGTCGGCCACAGCAGGGCCGGGGCCACGTGGGGCTTCGAGTGGAAGGGGTCGGGGTCACGGGGGTCACGGTTGGACGGTTGGTGGTGGTGGTGGCCATGTGAGGGGTTGGGGGGTGGAGGTTGGTGGGGGTGGGGTGGTCATGAAGCGGGGGTCGTGGCAAAGGTTATGGGTCATGCGATCGATCGGGTGGTCACGGATGCCGCGGGAAACAAAGAGGAGATGGGAGACCCCCCCCCCGTCCCGGTTGGAGGAAATGCGAAGTTTTCAAAAAAAATAATGAAGGCCATTGAAGGATGGAATGCGTCGAGTGATCGGTGTCACGAGCAGAATGGGGTGCACAAGGTAGTATAATGGGAATATTGGAACAATAACAATAGGGCGAACAAGGTAGTACAATGGGAACATCAGAATAATAACAATCATTTAAATGATTATTATTGGTCACGAAGAAACATAGTATCATATGGTGGGAGGGTGAAATACACATATATCAGAAGCTCTCCGAAAAGAGTCCGGATATTTATGACAATTGACATCACGGGCGAGCATGCGCGATTGTTTCAAAACACAAGAGGATGCGATGTTTTCATTCACGGGCATCGTGCAAACCATTTCAGAGCAAATGCGAAAACACCATGAATGTTTTATGGAAGGGTTAATACAGAGAGAGATAAAGGAATGAAGCGAAAAGGAAGAAAAAAATTAAAGAAAAACACAGAGGGGACAGAAACACGGGAGTCAAATCAATGCTGACATCAAAGTCGTCAACGCGAGTGCAATTCTTCAACAGCTGCACAAAGTCACCAGGAAGTTGCAAAACCAGAAATAAGAAAGATCTCCCGCCTCCCACCCCCCTCCCCGACAGCAGCGGAGTGTGGGGGCCAGGCCGTGGGTGCAGCGGTTGATGCAGTGGTCAATGCGAGTGCGTGCAGAGTAAGCATGAATCTCCACGATGCTGCAGATAAAATCCCAGGAAACCACCGCCACCGAACTCCCCCCCCACCCCCCCACTGCCCCCCTCCCCTAGGCACCACTGAGAAACACACGGCACAGCAACTCACGGCCACGTGGCGGTGGCCGCGGCGGTGATGGGACAAGTGTACGAGCAGACCTTGTAGGTGATGGATGGACAGGTGTGGCGTCATCGATGGCATTGACTGTGGTGACCCGTTTGACCTTGGTCGTGACACAAAGCACAAAGACTGACTGATTCCTCCTCCCGACAAACCTGCATCAGCCCTCACCGCTGTCAAGAGAGCAACATTCAATGTCACGGCCAAGGTCGCGAGGTTATACGGACAACGCTGCCACCGCCGCCGCCAACTCCTCGCCGTTACTTGCTTCCTTCGGCTAGATTCGGAAACCGCCGCCCAGTTGACGCTTGACCCGTAGGCTCTTCGCTTATAGAGCATCGCACATTTGCGCCGAGGTCTTCCCCTGGGTTCCCTGCTGCTTGTGTGTCCCTCTGCGATGCCTGCCTATAACGTCTTTGTCGGCTCATCTCGCTGGGGTCGATAAAATGAGCACCACTTGGTCGCGAGTCAAAAGCGGTTGCCGCACTGAACAGGACAATATGGTGCTCGTCGCAGAAATGTGCAATTTCCACCACTGGCTCAGGCCACCAGTGACGACGAGAGCCACCCCGTGGTTCATTCATGTGCTTTGATTCCCAGAACTTGTCGGGAGGACGACGCAACTCTTCAAGGTGTCACCTTGTGACCCTCCCATCGGGCAGCTGGGGATTGTGAAAATGTGGCGAATCTTATTGAATCGCAATGCAAGAGGGAGAAAATTATTAAGGGACAATGAATAGATTCATTTCCATGTAATGCCCGTCCAAAGGAAGCTCGTGCGTTCAGACGCTAAATAAATCCGAGTTGTAATTGTATTTTAATGCATTTTACTCTTACATTAAAATAGAGGAGGACAAAAAAAAGAAGCCCCAACAGCATTTAAGCCATAGTCAGCAATTATAACGCTGCCAAATGATGCCACCAGGGAATGTTGGAGGCTGGCCATGAGCACAAAAGGCCAATTTACAGCATATGCAGAAAAAAAAGAAATATTGCCAACGAGGAATCAAAGTATTACAACGCCAAAAACGTGATCATGATCCTGCCTATCAAAAAAAACCTATATTACCACACTGGCAACTATGCATTATTGTGTTTTTGTCGTTGTTTTAATTCTACGATTGATCCACTTGTGATCCTTGTGATTTTTTCATTTTTTTGTTTGTGTGTGTGTGTGGAAGGTGTAAGTGGGGAGCGGTAGTGTAGCATTTAGCACGCTGCGCTACAAATCCGGCGGACCGTGTTCACAGCCAATACCAGTGACGATTATCTTAATTGGTCCTGGGCCTCCCCTAGGTCGACTCAGCTTCAAATGAGTACCTAGTGTGATGTGTAAACATCGCCACGCGGGAGACAAAGGCGGCCGGGCGTGGCGTTGGCCAACCACCCCCTTTTGTGCCGTGCCGGCATTCATAGATGTTCGCTAACAGCACTTGCCCCAACTGCCTGTTCAGGTTATATGGGGGATCTTTGTATTTGGTGAAAACGTTAAGGGTGTGCGACTCACCCACGCGTGGGCCCTCCCGCCGACCAACCAGTGGAATGGCTTTGATCCCGCGAGCCGTGGGTCAAAACGTCCACCCTTGGCTCTGCCCCCAACACACCCGGTAAATCTAATCGGGCGCTGGATTAATTTTGCCAACAATCCTTGTTGTTACGATTGCCGAGACCGGGGGGAAAAATGATTGCGGTGGTAATGGGCACTTCCCTTCGCTCGCTTACGCCTTATTTAAACCGCTCGGTTCGTGTTTATTTTAATCCCCCTCGTGTTTGCCGTGAGTGAAAAAAAAATTAAGCCCCTTACAAGAATAGAAATTGTGTGATGCGACCATGTGAATGCAAAGTGATTTATGGTTTAGTTATGTTGCAATCTTGACAGCAAAGCTTATTAGGCAATCGCCCTGAAAATATGCCACGTATAAAAATGTTTATCATATCGGAGGGAAAATGGTTTGCAGCGGTGCTCGGACGGCGGAAGATTTAATCAGAATGACGTAAATACAAATACGGCCGAAGAGCGCGCGGGGGCCTGGCTTGCGGGCCGTTAGGCGTGAAAACACGATCAATCTTCACTTGGCGCGGGCACATCGCTGATCCATCAGTGGCGTTGGTCGTGGCCGGGTGGCCGGAGGAGCGAGGGTGGGGACGGAGCGGAGGGGGGGGGGGGGGTTGCCTCTGCCAAAGGTGCGCGACAAAAAAATTGACGGGTGGGGGGGGTGGGTTGCGGCTGAGGTTTAACGGCGAAGCGAGCGACATGGCGGTCGCGTCGTCGCCGTTTCTCGAACAAACGCAGCGCGTCCCCGTCGTCACCGCCACCGCCGCACGACGCCGACGTCGTCACCGGCACTGGCCGGCGGAGGGATGACACTTAATTACGGGGGCGCAGCGGCGGCGGCGGTGGTGGCGGTGCGCTCGAGCCCTCCCCAAAGCAGATCAGGCCGCTCTCTATCCCTGCAGCTATGAAATAGAGGGCGGTGAACTTTGAACCCTGAGGGAAATGATCGCGCGGCCGAGAGGGCTCGGCGGGCTCCTCTCGGCTGTAATTCTGCCTTTTTTAAGGCGTGTTTGCGTTTGTTAAGAAAGGCGCTCGTTGATCGGGAGTGAGCAGCGGGCGTGCGTACGGGCGGGGGGAGGTTAATCGGAGCGTTCGCCGACAGCCGTGGCGGGAAAGGAGGATGCGGAGGATTAAACCGAACCTGAGGGCAGCGCCGAGCAAGCGGAGCAGAGCGCGACACTGCAAATCATCCAATCTTGCAAATCATCCAATCCTGCAAATATCTACTGCCCCCCTCCCCCTGCCCCTCTCCTAACCACCCACCCACTTCGCCGCGCACACCGACAGCGGCGACGCTGTCGTTCCAGCGGCCTCCGACAAATCACTTCACTGCCGAACGGCCACGGAAGGGATCTATGCCAATTTTTCAGAACATTAACAAGGACATTGTTTGCCAAAAAGGTCAGAAATAAAAATAAAAAATGAAAATTGAGTACGGAGAACTATTCATCTGAGAACTCTCTGGCGCGTGCTTCCAATAAACGGGATGCTGAGGCGATACAGAAATGAAAAATAAACCACGACACGGTACTTCATGCTCATGTTGCTGTTGTTTGTGGCAAAAAAATGCAAATGTGAAAAGTATTGAGCACGCGACATTGTTCATCAGCACTTCACTGACTGCCGCACGATAACGACAAGAAGATGACAGCCCCGAAGATTGTCAGTGATGTTGATGACAAGTAGAAGACTGTCATTGATGTTCATGACAACTTGAAGATTCTCAGTGATGTTTATGACAACTGGAAGATTCTCAGTAATGTTTATGACAGTTAGAAGATTGTCAATGGTGTCTATGACAACTAGAAGATTGTCAGTGATGTTTCTGACAGTTAGAAGATTGTCAGTGATGTTGATGACAGTTAGAAGATTGTCAGTAATGTCTATGACAACTAGAAGATTGTCAGTGATGTTTATGACAGTTAGAAGACTGGCATTGATGTTGATGACAACTAGAAGATTGTCAGTGATGTCTATGACAACTAGAAGATTGTCAGTGATGTTTATGACAGTTAGAAGACTGGCATTGATGTTGATGACAACTAGAAGATTGTCAGTGATGTCTATGACAACTAGAAGATTGTCAGTGATGTTTATGACAACTAGAAGATTGTCAGTGATGTTTATGACAGTTAGAAGACTGGCATTGATGTTGATGACAACTAGAAGATTGTCAGTGATGTTTATGACAACTAGAAGATTGTCAGTGATGTTTATGA